GAAGAAAGGCTCTGGCCTGTATAGAACTGAAGAGATCTCCGATGTATGTGGCATTTTGGGAAGGCTCGAGATGTGATTTTTGTAAGATTCACCTTCAGGCCGAGATCTCGGAGTGTAACGAGAGTGAGATGGGTAGCTCTGATGGTGTTGTGATGAGATAGATGTTAAAACTATCAGCCAGTCATCTATGTATGGAAATATAATGATACCTTGAAGTCAAAGGTATGCAGCAACTGGTGCCCTGCATTTTGTAAAGGTTCTTGGTGCTGTGGAGAGTCCGAAAGGGAGAGCGCAGAACTGGTATGTGGTGTTGTTGAACCGGAATCGAAGAAACTTGTGGTGATACAGATGAATAGAGATGTGGAGGTACGTGTCTTGAAGATTGATCACGATGAACCAATCTCCCTGCAAAAGGAGAGGAATGATGGTATCTAGCATTAGCATTCTAAAGTGTCAAGGTCGAATAAATTTGTTGAGATTTCTAAGATCAAGTATCCTCCATCTTTTTTAGGTACCATAAAGTATCTGGAGTAGAAGCCATCCTGCGAGTCAGATGAAGGGACTGGCTTGTTTTTGAAGACAGACTTCTTGATGAATTGTAGAATATGGGGTATTTTTGATTCTTCCAGTTGGTGGAGAGGATTTGAATTCAAGGAGGTAACCATGTTTGATAACAGAGAGGACCCATTTATCATTAGTTATAGACTGCTATGTATGGAAGAATGGGTTTAATCTTGTTTGAAACTGAGTCTGAAAACGAAAAGACAGTAACAGAAATTTATGGGTATTGCTTACCCTTCTTTTGGGGCTGGCGAAAGAACTGGTGACACTGTTGTTGGTTTCGAAAGGGCAATGATACCGATGTTGATTGTCCTTGAAATTGTTGAGTGATTGCGGTTTGTATTCTCGATATGGCTGAAATTGTTGGTATGATTGTTGGTAGAATGGTTGCCATTGGTATTGTGGACGTAAGAATTTGTAGGTCTGTTGGGTAGAATAAGACCGGGCAGTTTTGTGTATTTTATGAAGGTTCTCCATCACTTCATCAGTTTTTTGATTAAATAGGCTCCTTCAAATGGTAGATCTTCAATTCTAGATCTGTCATCGTCAGAAAGACTAGAAGATTGAAGCCATGCGTGTTGCATCTAAGTCTTTGGAGGTGGCCAAAGACTTAGATGCAACATCTGCAGTGTAATGAGACACAATTCTTTGATGCTTGGCGAGTGTAGCAGCTTCTGTGTAGATGTTGATGGCTTCTGTTTTGACTGATTCTCGAGCTGATTCAAGTATAGGTAGAATTTTATTCCATAGTTGGGTTAAATTTCACACTTATCCCTATTAAATTCCATTCTGGTTTTCTTTTCAGGCCAGTGCTACAGCCTATCAAGATCTTTTTGAATTTTGATCCTGACTTTCATAGCATTATCTCTTCCACCCAACTTTGTGTCATCCACAAATTTGATAAGTATTCCCTGCACTCCCTCATCCAAGTCAATAATAAAAATATTGAAGAGCACTGGGCCCAGAACTGAACTTTGTGGTACCACACTTGTTACCTCCTCCCGGTTTGAGAAGGTCCTATTGATAAGCATTATTTGAGTATGATTCTTTAACCAGCTGTATATCCACCTGATAGCTGTTCTACCCAGTCCACACCTAATTAGCCTGTTAATCAGAATATTATGTCTACAGCATTTCCACTGTCTACCACGGAGGTTACCTGATCAAAAAATGAGATAAGGTAAATCTGGCAGGATTTGCTCTTGACAAATCCATCTTGGTTCCTAGTTATTACTGCATTGTTTCCAAGATCCTTGTAGAGTGACTGCTTTATAACCTGCTCCAGAATTTTCCCTGTGATTGACGTCAGGCTAAGCAGTCTGTAGTTCTTTGGTTCTTCCTTTTTGCCCTTTTTTGAATATAGGGATAACATTAGCCCTCCTCCAGTTATCTGGCACTTCACCCATTCTCCTCGTCTCTCATTTGGACTTTTGCTACACACATACCTGAAGAATGCTTTTTGTTGCTTTTAGTGTCTGTAGCTAGCCTCAGCTCATTCCCAGCTTTCACCCTCCCTCCTAATGCCAGCCCTGCAATTTCTTGCTACATATCTGTACTCTTCCTTTGTGATCTTGCCTTCTTTCCACATCCTGTGTATGTTCTTTTTTGTTTTGGGGTCCTCTCTAAGCTTTTAATGAAGCCACACTGCCTTTTTTGCTGTCTTCCACCTTTTTTTCTTGTTGGAATTGTTTGTAGTTGTGCCTTCAAAATTTCCTGTTTTAGAAGCTCCCACCCTTCTTGGACTCCTTTTCTTATTAGGATCTCCTCACACTGAACTGTACTTATCCTTGTTCTGGGTTTATTACAATTGGCTTTTAAAAAATCCAGTGTATATATATGTGGCTACATTCTGCTTTGGTTTCCTTTGAAACCGCCCAGAGTAGACACGTTCTAGATGGGTCGTATATAAATCTAATTAATAAATAAGTAAAATTTGAAATCAAGAATTCTAGTAGAACATGGTCACTCTCATCCAGAGTTCCCCCCTTACTGCCACTTTTTCCACCAAGTCTTAGAATTAATTCAAGGATAGGTAGTTTCTTTCTCCACTTTTTGTAGGAGAAAATTATCAGCCAC